AACCCATATTGGCCCACTCCTCCGGCAAGCAGAGACGTCTCGGGACGTCTAGCACCACTCCCCCCCTCCCCCTACGTCGATGCTTTTCTCGGCGGGCGTTTCAAGTGACGAAATGTGTATGCCTCAGGCGTAGTCGGCGTGCAAGTAGCATTTCACCCCTACCCCGGCGAACAGACACAAACACACACACGCCAGCACACACACACACCAACACAGCACACCCGCGTGGGAGGAGGGCGGACTCAAGTAGCAGGATATGTCGCTGAGCCGCCGTCTCGAGTGTGTTCGTCACAAAGATAAAATTCACGTCCACCGCCGGCTCACACCACATTGACTCGCACACAAAGGAGCGGCGGCGAGGAGGTGACTTTCACACGCACGCACTAACACAGACACACACACACACACACACCTACACACACACACACGCACACACACACACACACACACACGCGCGCGCGACTCGCAAGGTCGGCCCTCTTAGCCGAACTCCGCGCACCAACAACGGCGACTTTGTTTGCGACACGGCTCGGACTAATGCCTCCGGATTAATCACCTTTCCCGTCCACGAAGCGGGAATAAAAGAATTACCGCCGGCCTCATGAAGGGTGGCGCCATCAAATTACGCCGGCCGTGTGTGGGTGAGGTGAGCGTGTGTGTGTGTGAGAGAGTGTTCTAGTTTGGACTCCATCAGGGAGCATCAGCCGGCCGTGTTTGAGGGGATGAGAGCCCCCCCCTCCCCCCCCTTTTACCCGCCCTCCCGACCTCCATGCATATATACAAGTAGTCTTGCACCCCTGCTGTGCCTGGCTGCCGCTGGCTGAGCCCCCCTGGGCAAACACGCCAACGCCCGCGTGCCCCACGTGAGCCCCACGCGTGCCCCACGTGTCACCGGCAGGCCGGCGGGGCACCGACGAGCGGCGCCTTTAATTTGGATGCCCCTTTGTGTTTGGCGCGGCCCGCGGCCCGTCAAGGCGGACTGCTTCCCGCGCCGCCTGCACTCGTGCCATCATTACCACTGTCTCTCCGGGCTGGAAGGGGCGGGGGCGGCCTGCTCGACAAGACGCGTGGCGAGTCGGTCACCCTCTCTGGCGACGTCTGGCCGGCCATTAGCACATCCAGTGCCTATCAGTGCCCGCCCATCGGTGCCCATCAGTGCCTATCGGTGCCTATCAGTGCCTATCGGGCACCAAGGCTGCGAGCACGGCCAGGCAGGCGAGTGATGCCGGTTTAATGATGATGAACGGGCCACCATTCCACCTGTAATTAGACCGAGCCTACCTGCAGCGCTGCAGCGGCTACTTCGCAAGCCACTTGGCGCGGACCCGGGTTCAAGTACCACCATAGTCTGCGCCCTATCCCAGTTTTTTTAGCAGATGATACCTTCACACTTAAAACATACTTAAAACTACTATACACATGAAGGTGTCAGCGTGCTTTTACTCTCGAGTCCAGAAACGAAGCGCGTATCCTAAACAATATGATAGGGGCTGGCTGCCGGGGCGGGCTATATATTTTGTTTCATACACAATTTTAATTACTATCTTTGGAATGAGCCCGCATACTACCCCGTATAAGGAAACCGAACGAGTATTGACTGAGAAATTTGAAAGGGAAAAGAAAAAAATTTGAACTCTACACCCCCTCCCCAGTCTTAATGGGGAGGCCTCCTGCTTTACTTCGGTGTTCGGGATGGGAACCGGTGCTATCAGGTACCTGGGGTTAATCCCGTCAGCGACCCAAGCGTTCGCCGGGGGACCCAGTAGGACCCCAAAGCTCAGGCAGTAGGGTGAGAGCACCCAGTACGAAGCTCTTTGAGGGGCGGGACGTAGAGTGAGACGACAGAGAGACAGAGAGAGACTCAGACAGAGAAGAGGTTTGGTGGGAGCTTCTTGTTTTCGTAGGGTTGGTTGTGTACCCCATGGTACCCCCACTGTCCGGCGCTCCCGTACCGAACATACAGCGTTTTAGGCCAGCTTCAAAGGACTTATCATCGCCTCCCCGACGAGTCAAGGAGGCACCACCCGCAACCACACACCGGATGGTCTGGATTGATGGATCAAATACTCCATCGCTCCAGTGCCGAGGCCAACCCGCCGAAGCGGATTGCTTTTTAGACACCCACAGCGGAGTGGCCAGGTGAATGTGACTCTGACCACTACGCTATCACGCTTGTACGTCTGGCAGCGTGTTGGACGACGGGTTTGAGTTGCACTGGGAGGAAGGCGGTCGAAAAATGTAATGGAATGATGGGATTCGATCCCCGGACCCCGCCACCGGGATCACACGACTTTACGCTCTCGGCCACCACGGCCCATGATGAGGGGACCGGCGTGAGGTGGGTTCTTGACGCAACAGGACTCGACCGACCCGGTCAAAATTTCGCAAGAAGTTGGGGGAGTCGAACCGCCGACTCTAGCATTGGGAACCGACGCCTCTACTCCCTGGACCACCGCGTCCCATGCACGGAGTGGGCTCACGTTCACGGGTTTCAACCGCACTGGGTGAGGCAGTAAAATTAAATGGAAATATTTGTTAGGAGTCGAACCTCCGGCATGTGGGTCTGTTGCACACGGCTCCGCTCGGATGGCCTCGAACCACCACCCTTAGGATAGTAAGTCGAAAAAACGTATGTGACGCTGGTATTCGAACGCCCGCCTGCGGTAACTCGATCCCACGTCTCTAACCTCTCGGCTATCACAGCAGTTGTGAAACGCGATGGATCATCTGCTTTCATTAACGTTCGTTGAATGAGATTTTTTTTACCCATTAGCACAATGCTACGTTCTCTTTCTTTTTTTTCAATCTCACCTGGAGCGCGGCAGTGACGAATCCAGGGAGGTAACACACAACAGCAATTGGCGCGCACGTAATTTATTTTTATCGCCACCGCCAGTACGTGGCAAGCCTTCGGCAAGGGTTTCGAGATGCGGCGAGGAGAAAGGCAGAGAGAGGGAGAGAGAAATCGAGCGCCCGCAACGCGTTGGGCAGGGCAGTAGTAAGAGGGGCTGGCGGATGAGCTGATCAACGGAGAGGGGGGGGGGGGAGGAGGAGGAGGGGGAGAGGACTACGGTGCAGGGAGCATAAAACATTTAACCCGGCAAGCCATGTTTCGCACCAGACAAAGTGGACGTAGTACCCGTGTACACGCAGTCGTGCAGTGGCCGCAAGACAGACAGGCGGACTGACTGACTGACAGACCGATAGACGACGCAGCAGCACACGCGTCCCCATCTGAGTGCCGCGCGGAGTCCCTGTTGCTCTTTGTGCCGGAAGACGCCTTTTGTTTACTCCGCGTTCCTTTCCCTCGTTGATTTCGATCGAAATGGAACGGAGACTAGGCCAGGATGCCACCAGTTCTGTTTGCCTTTGCGATCTGCGGGGCGAGGCCGCAGCGGCAACAGTTACCGACAGCGAGAGTGTGAAGGCCGAAGGCGTGGCGGGGCGGGGCGGGGCGGGGCGAGTGGCGGGTGCCACGACATCCCTGCGGGGACACAGACGGGGCCCCGCCCCACTCGCCTGGCCCTGATGCAAACAGATTCACTTTGCCGACTGTCTAGCGCCGCCGCCGCCGCCGTCGCCGACGCCCCCGCGCGCGACCGGAGTCGATCCCTCGGCCGGTGATTTGAATTTGAAATTGTTTCTCCGTTGTTTCTCGCACACTACACAGTACACAGTGCGGCGCGCGAACGCGTAGTTGGTTTCGCAAGTTCCTGCGGCCCGCGTCTTTGCGCACTGCCTGCGGTGTGCAACCGGGGCAGGGGAAAGGGGGGGGGGGGGTCGCTTGGCGTCGCTGCGAACCACATCCATCAAAGCGGTGGGTGACGAGAAGTGTGTGTGCATGTGTGTGTGTCTGTATGTGTGTACGCGCGTGGAGCCGCTCGAACCACTATGACGGCGCCGTTCAAAAGAAGGTTCACCGGGTTCACGCTTCGCGACCGTGGACTATGCAGCGCAGCGCCACGTAGCGTGCCCCCTCCCCCGTGCAGTTAGGCACAGCTGGGGGAAAACACTGATCTGTCGGAACCAAACCACGCGAGGCTCCTCCAGGCCGTGCGATTGGTTCAACGCTTGCCTCGACCCGCGGACTCGCGCCGGGGCCGAAACCTCTGATTGTTTGCTCGCGGTGTGCCGTCGTGCTGTCGTGCGGGCGGCGGGGCTAGTCGTATCCTCCAGGGCGAGGCGCGACGTGCGCGACAACCCCCTCCCCCTCCCCCACGCTGACTACGTGACGAGGCGGCCAACTGTAGCGGCGGGGAGGGAGGGGGGGAGGCTGCTGAAAAATAGAAACCGAGGCGTGCGGGCAGGGCGTGGCAGTGTCGTGGCGCTGGCGTGGCGCTCGGCGCGCCTCGGCACGTCAATGTCCCCTTGCACACGGCCGCGCCGGCGGAAAGCAGCATGAACAAACTCCGCCGGTCCGGGGAGTCGAACCCGGGACCTCCGTCGCTGGCGGAGGTGGCGCGTAACAGGTGTGGCCGGCCGACGTGTCGAACGGGGCGGGGCGGGGCGCCAGGACAACTTGGGTGCTTCGGTGGAATGGACGACGACGGTGGACATCTAGGTCGTTTCTCCTTTTCACGCTGTGTGTGCGCGCGCGTGTGTGTGTCTGTGCGGTGAATGCCATCTTGACGAGCTGGATGAAAGACGTGTGGAAGGCCCAATGGACCGAACCGACGGAGCCGACAGAACGGGCCGACCGGGCCACGTCCAACAAACTGACGCCAACCACCCCAGCTTCGCCACGGCCAGCAAGCATCAGCTGCAAAAAAAAGAGGGGCGGGCTCGGAAGCGCAATGAAATTCAAAAAGAGCTTTAAAGGGGCCACGGCCGGCCAGCTGGGGGAACGCGCGCGGCGCATGGGGGCTGGCTTGGCTGGCTTGATGCTTCTGGCCGAGTCCCGAACTCCCCCGGCAGGGCCATGAAACTCGCGTTGGCCGTCTCTGCGGCCTGCCTTGCTGCCTTGCTGCCGGGCGCTGCAGAGGGGGAGGAGTAGTCATGACCTTGGAGCCGTGTGGAGGGTGACCGTCATGGCCGTCATCGTGGGCCCTAGAAACTGGAGAAGGGCAGTAGTGCGTCTTTTCGGCTAGCAGTGTCTCCGGGGGCTTATGGGGACGCGTCAGTGGCGGCCATGCCCAGCCGCCATGCCCAGCGGCCCAGCGGGGGCCCAGCGGGGCGGCCAAGGAGAAACCGAAAGAAAATTTGCGGAGCGGTACGCGGGGTCGCCTATCCACCACACGAGAAAAAGAATCGCCCCGACTTGGAAAAAGCCGAGAAACTGTCTGTTCTTTTCCAGCAGCGTTTTGTCGTCCCCCAGGCAGTGTACTAGCGAGATGGATGGAGACTCCACCGCAGACACTGGGACGCCGCGCCGGGCGGAGCCGGGAGGAGCCTCCACACTTTTCAATGTGTCGGCCATGAATCAAAGAGTCGAATGCCGTACGGTCCATCGTTATTTCTGGCGACGGCTTCCGTCAATTTTTTTCATTTTTTTTCAAAAGACTGACAAAGGGACGTCCTTTCCCTTTCGGGTCGCGGTCGCGCGGTCTCGCGGTCGGCTGGCTCGGTCTGAATAAATGAGCGAGGCAGACACAAGGGCGGCACGGCGGCCCGGAAATCATTTATCTCCTGGGGACGATTTCTAGGCTGCTGTGTGGGCACACTCGAAACAAAACGAGGGCAATTTTTTCTATCGCGCCCTTTCTGCGCCGGCTGCCTCACGCGCGTTGCCTGGGCGTATGCGCGTGAACCGTTCACAAAAAGCAAATACGGTGTTCGAATCGGAGTTGCTGCTGCTGCTGATTGGGTCACCCGTGAGGCTCGCCCAGGTCCGCGCTGATGAAAAGCGGGCCGCCTTTCGTCATAATCGGCCGACCCACCGACCCGCCGACCCACCGACCAACGACCAAGCCGACCCATCGACGCGGCGCGGCACCTATGCCACCTGCTGGCTCTGAAATGATATTGGTTTTCGATTCGCGCGCCGTGTCCACAAACAGCAGGCGACGACGGGGCGTGCTTTTTAGAGGGCCCCGCCGCGGCCAGCCGTGTGTCATCGTCGTAGACAGAGAATGAGAGAGAGGGGCAGAACCGAATCATTGCTTCGAGACCAGCGACACAGAGAGAGCGATAAAACTGGAAAACGAATTTGGAACTAAGACAGGGCTGGTGGATTGGCCACCATGACGTGAGGCGCGCAGCGGCCTTGGGTACAGGTGGGGAGCCACCGGGAGAGAGAGAGAGAGAGAGAGAGAGAGAGAGAGAGAGAGAGAGAGAGAGAGAGAGAGAGAGAGAGAGAGAGAGAGAGAGAGAGAGAGAGAGAGAGAGAGAGGGGGAGAGAGAGAGAGAGAGGAGGGTGGAGAGGCAGACGAAGACGAACGGTCGTGGATTATGGCGAAACAGCGAGATGGGATGTGCGGGACAGCGCGGCGTCTTGAAGCGAGATCCCCTGAAATTACGTAACGAAATTGGCCGGTCCGGGTGGCGCAGACAACAGTGTGTGCTGCAAAAGTGGAGCGAGAGTGCTGTACGATCCATTCATTACGTTCACAGTGCTCTCTCTGTCTCTCTTTTGACACGGAAAGTTAGTTTGGGGGCCGCCGAGCGTGTTGCTGGTGTGTCGCCGGCACCGAGCGCGGGGCGAGTGTGTGTTTCGGCCCCTTTTTGTTTCGTCTCTTCGTTTTTTGTAAATAATCCGATTTCGGCAGGCCTTTGCTGTACCGCGGCTCCGCAGCGCCACCGAGGCTCGCCTTGCCGCCTCTATTTGAATTCTAATTTAAGTTTGAGCCACGGCCGCTGCGGCGCTACTCACGCGCACTACGGCGCGCTCGCTCAAGAATGAAAATAATGGTCGCGCCGAGAGAGCTCGTCGCGGTGCGCCAACGCGCAGTGGAACGCCCCGAACGCCTCGGAACGCCTCGGAACGCCCGCGCCGAGACGACGCCGCGAGGCGACGGATAACGAGACGGTAGCTGGCGCCCGTGCCCATCCAACTCAATAGACGACCGGAGTTGGAGCTCAATGGGTTCAACGTGACGCAGTGTCGCTCATCAATTTTGGAACAGGCGTTGGATTAAAAGCTAGAAAGATGAAATCCAAGATAACGTAGCCAAAAGCCTAAAGCTTTGCTAGTACCACAAAGTATCGCGTCCAACACAAAAACCGTGAATGCCCTCCTGCCACGTGTCTCGAACGCATGAGAAGTCGCTCAGCAACCGCGGTCACGCAGCTTGGGGTCTGCGGCTGAGCCGTGCCCTGTCGTCAAAGGGAGAGCATGACGACGCTCTCTCTCTCCCTCTCCCTCCAGCGGCAGGAGGTGCCGGCCAGACGGGGCAGGGGGAGGTCCACTGCGAACGCAGTTCCGCGGGGGAGTTCCCCTGGGATTGCTCGGAATCCGGTGTGAAAGTGTGGTGGCCAGACCGGAAATGGAAGCGGGGCCGGCGGGGGCGCTCCGGCCCTGGAGGAGAGGGGGAGGGGGGACTCGGCAGCATGCATAAAAGGCGTCGTTAATTAAAGTCTCGGAATCAGAGAATGCTCCGAGGACGTTCCGATGCGGCAGTCTTCTTTCTTTGCCCTTTCTTGGCTTGGCCTGCTTGGCCGAATCGCAGCCGCTGTCCGACTCTCGGTTCAACACGGTTACCCTCCCTGGCCGGGCCAATAATTAAAGGTCGACAGTGTGCGAGGCAGTGCGAGGCAGTGCGAGGGTGCAGCCGGCTAGCCGCTGATGTTTGAATAAAGCATGGTACCGCGTCTCCGTGTGGATAATCAAACAACTTGGCTCGCCGGCCGGGGAGTTTCGTCCATCCATTCCGGACCCCCACCTCCGGGGCCGCCAGCCTCCAGTCCTCCAGTCACAGTGACTGGTCGGAAAAGGCAATCGGAATTGAATCCAAGGTGAGCTTGTTCGAACCCCGTCCGGGGCCCTGGGAGCAGCAGCCAACTTCGCAAACAGGACTGCCGGCCCGGCCGGCCGGGGTGACTCCGAAATGGGACTCTGGCTTTTTTCCTCCGCGTCCGCTCCGCCAGGCCCGACGGGGCCCGGTTACCCGGCGTTACCACAGCAACGCGGGGCGGCGCGGGGCAGGGTTGGTTGTTGCTCCTCGTTCTGCAGCAGCGGGCGCCAAGTAATGCCCTGGTTAATGTAGCCCTCCTGTTGTGCTTCTTTCCTTTTAATGCGCGACTTGTTAGTGAAATTAACGGCATTCCATTCCACGCCATTTCTCCCCGTTGATGAGGATCGCGCGTCGTCGTGTCGCCCCGACGGCTTTCCCGGCTTCCCTTTTCCCTTTTCCTTTGTGAGCCCAAATTGCCGGTCGTCTCAGCAAAAAAAGTAAAGGGCGTCTAATGATGGGAAGCACTTGGAAAAAGGTAAAAATGACATGATGGACTAAATTTTCGCGCTCTGTTTAAAATGTCCAGTGCATATTGAGTAATTTTGACACGGCGGACGCAATCGAATAAAATTTGAGTAGACCAGGTGGTGTGCGGTGTAGCGGCCTCGCCTTGTTGGCCGAACCAACTCCCTTGACCCCTTTCCGTTCAGGACTTCCGGGTCATAAGCGGGCCATGTTTGCCTCCGGGACGTAGTGGCCCACTTGGTCGCGATAAAGGCCAGGTGCAGCCAGCGACCTTGAGCTACCCTGAGCGGCCTTGAACGGCCTTGGACGGCCTTGAGCGGCCTTGAGCGGCCTTGAGCGGCCTTGAGCGGCCTTGAGCGGCCTTGAGCGGCCTTGAGCGGCCTTGAGCGGCCTTGAGCGGCCTTGAGCGGCCTTGAGCGCCTTGGACGGCCTTGAGCGGCCTTGAGCAGTCTTCAGCGCCTTGGAGACGACGGCCGTGGAGTCAGCAGGGTTTGGCGACGAGGTTGGCTGGCGGAACAGCACGTCGATGCCGCGGTTGACTCAATTATAACGCAATCTTGAGTAAAGCCGAGCAAAGTGGAGCAGCGCGGAGCGCGGCACGGACGGAGAAACAGACAGACAGACAGGGCGAGCCAGGAAAAGGGGGAGACAACTGCAAGGCCCCATGGTTGGGAGGCAGCGACTACCTTCCGTCACTTGGCCGACGTGATACAAAAGCATCCCCCGGCCCACTGCCGCCGTTCCCTCATGAATACCCCCAAGCTGAAGGGCTGCGTGCACTCGGATGTGTATTACGACACCTGGAGCGGGGCTGGAGAGGCCTGGAGCCGTCCTGGAACCGCCGGGGTGGGGGGTATTAAAGTTGGAGGCTGCTAAACCTCTCTCTCTGTCGCTCCGCCCTCGTGGCGGCACCGCCCCGGCAGGGCTGGCAGGCAGCGTCGTGCCGGTCCTACCCCATTCAATTGTTGACGACTACGCGAGTAGCAGCGGCAAGTTCGGGCGCCTGGCTGCGCGGCTGCGCCTGGCGGAAGGCTAAAGACTGGCGGCTCTGTTTGCCCCATCAACCTGTGCAAACGAATTAACAGTGCAGGCACTACATGCAGTGCGCCGCCCGTGGAAGTGGTCTATCGTCGTCCCTGCCGACGGAAAGCTGGCCTGGAATAATAATTGGCGACGTCCCGAGGCTGGGATGGAAACGAGCCGAAAAAAACTGCCTTAATTGCTTTCGTAACATCTTGCCAGTGGAGCGGCCGCCTAATGTTGGGCAAACACGCCGCAAATTATGCATGGGGGCGTCGCACGGCGTCGCCGGGCTTGGCGCACCCTTTGTCTCGCAGGGCGGCAGGCTGTAGGGCCACATCGATCACACCTTTTGGACGACACTTCCTCACGCTTCGGCCTGGAAAACTACCAAGAGGTGCTTAACACCATTTCTGGACCATGACCGTGACTATGCCTATGACCATGTCCGTGAACACCACTATCAGGACCACACAAAAAAAGTTCGTCGAGTGAACTAATTTTGTGGCTAGGTTGAACATTTTGTTCGGCAACAACCATTAGGTTCGCGGTGTCCCTGGTTCGTGACGAGCTGGATCGCACCATTCCGCCGGTTCCTTTTGTATCGCGGGGTAGCAGTGGGCCGCGCCGAGTGTCAACAAAGTTGGGGGCCAAGTTGTTCGCCAGGTGCAGAGCCCCCGCCCTGCCCCGCCCGCGCCCGGGCCGGCAGAACAGAAAGAACACTCGCTGGGCATGCCGCGCCCTCGGAGGGGCCTGGCAGTGCCGTGCGCGCTCGCGAAACAAAGGCTAGGGCGCGAAGGACCTCCAAGGCCCACCCCGCCCCAGCCCGGCTCGGCTCGGCTCGGCTCGCATACAGCTTGCCGCTCATTACCAGTAGGCCAGTATGCAAACGGGGCCGTAACAGCACCAGCGGCCGGAGCGGGCTGCGAAATCAGTAAACGGCAAGTCAAAACCAGTGGCGCACCGCTCCGGGGTCCGCAACGACGTCCTCAATACCGCCCAAATCACCTTTGTTGCGCAGAAAAGTATCATCTTCAGGAGGAGGATTGCGTCGACAAAGTGCCATTATGATGTCGGGTTTCAGGGCCTTCAGGGCCTTCAGGACGGAAGGCGGCGGCCGTGGCGCCGCTCAGGAAAGGTGGGGCAGGGAGACAATGGAGGGCTCGCCGGTATAAAATATCACTGCCGCCCACGCTGTGGACACTACGGGGGGAGTTGCCGGGGGAGCAGGGACGCACGCGTCGATGGGGCAGTGGAGTCTGGAGTGTCGGAGTCCTCAACCTGGGGCGCTCACCTCACTGGAAAATGAGTCGGATTAATCGCGACCCAGGCAGGTTGGGTAGTCCTTTCTTTCCGACGCCCCCCAGTACCAAAGACTCGTCGTGACAACAACTCGCAACGTTTCCCTTTTGTTTACGCAAGGCTCTCCCCCCGCCCCGCGTTTTCCAGTTCTTCTTTTGTTTTTGTTGCTGCCGGGGACTCCAGACGGCCACTTTTAGGGCACAATAAAGCTGGCCGAGAGAATGGTCCCGTTGATGTTGTTGTTTTTTTTCCAGTGCGTAGCCATTTAAAGCGTGCCAGAGCATTCGGTTGATGAAGTTGGAGTGAGAGTGCATTCCGCAAACGTACGAGGCACTGAAAAAAGATGCGACAGGGCAAGTACCCGCAGCAGTAAACCACACTGGCAGCGCCCTTTAACGGTGTCATCTGTGGTCGAGCTGTAAATTCCGATTTGGGAGTCTCGCTTAACAGCCCGTGGCCGGCCCGCCGGCCCGCGCGGTCAGAGTATGACATCGGGGTGATTTCGTCGAAATGGCGAAAACGCGGTCCGACATGACGGCGACCAACAAACACACTCGCAGAGGGAAAAAAGGTGCTGACATTCTGGAACACGAGGGCGTACGAGGGTGGGCAATATCCGAAAGGATTGGGACGGGGAAGAGAGAGATGGGGAGGGGGTGAAAGAGAGAGACGTTATGGCGATCTGGTATAAAAAGGGAACTAGAAAACACACATCGTGACACATGTCGTGTGTCGGTTTGAAAGCGGCGGCCTGGCTCCCTCCCAGAACGTCCCCCTTTTTTAGCCGACTCCTGCATGCATAGATTTTCCCCGTTTGGAGCGAGTTGGCAACGCCTCTGCGAATAACCCAAGTGCAGCCCGTCCCGCACACGGTTCCACGCAGCGCCACATCGCTCGGATGCCGGTCCACTTCGATTCCCGGGAATAGCAGGGACTCCCCTACTCGTCCTAGAACTACCCCCCCCCCCCCTCTCTCTCTCTCATTGGCACTCCGCGCCAATTAGCCCCTTTTGCCGAGATTCCAATCCGGCCGATTCGCGGTGGCAACTACCGACCCGTTCGTTTATACGGATCAACACCACTAAAGTAACCGGGCCCCGAAGCGGCAGGCCCGCCCCCGCCCCCACAGCAGCCCCAATTCACCGTAAATACAGTCCACAATTAGTTCCATCGCCACCGCGGCGCGCGCGGGCATGGGCCCGTTTGATCCATTTTAAAATCGAAACAAGCGGTCTTTGTCACGGCACGGTAACGATGCCCAGGCCACCTTCTCAGTCCATTTCCCTGCATCCCGTTCATTAAAGCGGGGAAGGAGCGTTTCAGATTGTCCTTGGCGTCAAGACTCCGCGGCCCCCCGTTACTTTTTGTCGCCCCCGGGGGATGAATATTTTTTAGTCCGCCCAGTCTCGCTCTCATTTTGACGCCCCCACGCCGCCCCCGCGCCGCCCCCCGGGGGTTTTGAAGCCACTCCGGCAGGATTTCAACTACACTTACCTCTAAGGAGGAGATATGGCGAGTCGATTACTCGTCGAGATGAAGATAGAGGGCACCGCGGGGAGCGATACACGGATCGGTCGGGGCGCCGCGAGGCTAGCAGGGCGGCCGGGCAAGAAGAAAACTCCTTCGCCCGTACCCATTCCAGAGTAAACAGTCGCTATTTCATCTGGGCGAAAGGGAGAGCCGTCTCTAATCCAGGCCACCCCCGTGCCTCGCCGTGACACGCATAACCTATCAGGGGGATATCCAGTCCAGCGCCCAGCCCCGCTCCGGCGGGCCTCCCAGCCCTAGACGGTGTGGAGCGGCCACGTCATCGAAAGACAAATCCACAGACATTTCCAACTCTCGTAAAATCGGCCTTGAGAAAATTCGCTCGACTGTCCTGACGCGGGCGTCCCTCCACCCCGGCCGGGTTGCGCGCGGACGGAGCCTCGCGACGGGGAGGGACGCCAAAGCCGGTCGCGGGTTCGCGCCCCGCCCGGCCCCGCCTCATAATCCCGAAAATAACAACAATGTTTGCTGCGGTGTAATCGCGTGGCAGCGTGCCCGCCGCACGATATTGCCATCGATTTTTCATGCAAATTCATGCCTCCTTAGCAACACGGCACAGCGCGCCGCCTTCTCGGTGCGCGCGCCGAGCCGCTGGGAAAGGCGGGAAACGTCTGGAAAAGGGGAAAACGGGATCATTACCCGTCCGACAAACACCGAGCAACGTGTTCGGCCTTCGGGCCTTGTGCTCGGAAGTGGCACTGCGACGAACTGCAATCGCATGCGGGATGGGGGCAAAAGGGGGGGGGGGGGGGGCGTCCTGACCGCCCGCCGGCCACGACGCCGCCTCGCTATGGTAATGTTCCTGAATTTGGATGAGGCTGCAGCGGCACAAAGGTAAGTGAATATGGTTATCTCGTCGCTTCCAGCTTGATGCAGCAACTGATGAAAATTCCAAACCGATGTGGCTGGCGACCAGTTCAAAGGGCCTCCCTTCGGCCGCCCCAAGCGGCTGCGGTGGCGTTGGCAGCGGGGCCGCTTTCCACCCCGAGACCACCGCGAGCACCCAGGAGACCGCCGAGTACTCCACCGGCAGAGCGCAAGTTATTTTTTTTCCCAGTTTTTTTTTCAGTCGCCAACCAGAATTAGCACACACCGGCTTAAGTGCTGTCCGCTGTCGCCGGGCGGGCTGCGTCGTGAAAGGCCGCCATTCGTTCTGGGAGTTATGCCTCTCTCTCGCAAACACGGCCCTCTCACCCTGCTCTCTCTCTCTCTCTCTCTCTCTCTCTCTCTCTCTCTCTCTCTCTCTCTCTCTCTCTCTCTCTCTCTCTCTCTCACCCTCTCGCGTCGCTTTCAATTCGTTAGAAGGACTCGGACAACTCTGACGTAAGAGCGCCGCTTGTTTGCGGTACAAGCGGGCAGGTGGATCACAATGGCGCTCCGAAATAGACAATTCTCATAATGAAAACGCGGCCCGGGCCCAAACGGCCCGCCAGGCCGCCACTGTGTGGGCTCACAATGTGCCGCCGACGGTTTAACTCGGGGCCACAAGGAAAATCGGGATAGCCTGGCTGGACACTGGAAAATACACACACACAATGTCACAGTCCCACACTTGCAACACACACACACACACGCACACACGGAGACTGGCGGTCCATTCATGCGGAGTGCATTCCGTTTGTCTGACCGCCGTTTCC